TTAGGAGATAAGGATTGCTACAAATAAAGGGGATGATTATCCTAATCCTATAATGATTAGGATAACTACAACATATGGATAAATACAAGGAGGATAAGTACAAGCTGCTGGCCGCCTAGTCTTGGTACTGAAGTGAGACTGATGTGGTCTGGTCCATTTCCCGGATATGTCCCAACCACTATCTTCATTTCTTAACAATTTTATGGTAGAAAAAAAATCGAAAATAAAAATAATGTCTGATACGAGACAAGTTTAGTCAGTATCTAGTAGTTAATTACATTCGGACCATTGCCTTATCTTCGCAGACTCAAACCCACTACTCCTTTGCCGGCAATGCTTCTCTACTCAAAACATCTCACTAAAATCATCTCTTTTAATTTTCTTAATCTTTACTCTCTCTCCTGAAATGGCAATTCCGTTGCCCCTCACTTCTTACTCGCCAATCTCAACTTCTTCTTCTATTTCCCCAACCTCTTTCGTCTCTCTCACGCCTCGCAATCGTAACATCTTCTCCGATCAGAATGTCACTAGGCGTGTGCTTATCACCTGCTCTTCTTCCTTGAACAATGGTTCAACTCCAGAGTCCATGAATGGAAGGTAGTATTGATCTTCTGATGTAAACCTTTTTGACGCTCACCAGGTGTTTGTGAAAATTCCTCAGTGAAGACACTTTCTGGCTATAACGTTTAGGATTGATTAACATATATTGCAAGATTCGTTTTTTTTGTTGGGTTAAAGTAAATCTTAACACTTTTGGCTCTAGGGTTTAGGTTTTGAGTTAAACATCTTGCTAAATTTGTTTTTCTTTTTGTTGGGTTAGAAGTATAATGTTAACCCATTATGAACTCTAGAACTCTGGCTGATTTTGCCAAATTTTTGTGCCATCATCTGTGATTTTCAGTGGGTTAAACGGGCAGTCATCGTTTCCTGGAATGCCTTCGTTCGATGGAACATCCAACCCACCGGTTAAGTGGAGAAGGGTTTTACTTAAAGTCAGTGGAGAAGCTCTTGCCGGAGACGAGAAACAGAATATTGACCCTAAGGTTTTTTTCTGATTTGCAAAATAAACCTCCTTATTTCTGCTTCCTTTGTTCTCTGTTTCCTTTTCCAGAAGGCTCATCCAGTTTCTTACTACTCTGACTAGGTTACTATGTCGATTGCGAGGGAAGTTGCTGCAGTGACTCGGCTTGGCATTGAGGTTTTTCTCTAAAATTTTTGTTCTTCTTGTAATTGGGTTTCTGTAACCATGAATTCAGCTGTTCTTAATGGTTAGGTTAGGTATTAAGCTTTAAGCTCTTTCCTAGACATTCTGATTGACAAAGTATGATAAAATACTATTTTTAGTTCACGGAGTAGTGATTATTGGCTGTGTAGAAGTTACAAACTGTGTTAAAACTTACAAGATACATGAGCTTAAGTCATAAGGTAGAGATCTATGCTTTAAACATACGTGAAGGATGATAATGGGTCTCATTCCTAGGCACTGCAAAGTCCTCTATGCTCTGTCTTGATCTTCTTACATTTTCACAACAGGTTGCGATTGTTGTTGGAGGAGGAAACATCTTTCGTGGATCCACCTGGGCTGGTTGCAGTGGCCTTGATCGCTCCTCTGCTGATTATATCGGGTATCAAACCCATTCTTGATTTCTTGTTCCTTCCACACGAGTCTTCTCTATCAGAGTGTTCTTCGTTCCTCTCACTATCTGTTTTTTATTTGTTTCATTGGTTCATGTATAATTTTTACAGGATGATGGCAACTGTGATGAATGCAATATTTCTTCAAGCGACAATGGAGAGTATCGGCATCCCAACACGTGTTCAAACAGCTTTTCGAATGTCAGAAGTCGCAGAGCCTTACATTAGAAGACGAGCAATTAGACATCTAGAGAAAGGCAGGGTTGTCATATTCGCAGCTGGAACAGGCAATCCGTTCTTCACCACCGATACTGCAGCCGCTCTTCGTTGTGCTGAAAGTAAGTTTTTAGAAAAACGATAGCTTCTTTATTGAAGTTTCCTTAAATGATTCATTAACACTTTTACCCCTTTTCCTCACAGTTAACGCAGAGGTAGTGCTGAAAGCAACAAATGTTGATGGAGTATTTGACGATGATCCTAAAAGAAACCCAAACGCTCGCCTTCTAGAGTCACTAACGTACCAAGAAGTAACCTCAAAGGATCTCTCTGTGATGGACATGACTGCTATCACTTTATGCCAAGAAAACAACATCCCAGGTTTGTCTTTTAAATCACTCTTTCAAAACTTACATAATGATCATCTAAATTCCAACAAGAATGCTTTTTGGTCGCAGTTGTGGTTTTCAATCTATCTGAGCCTGGAAACATCGCTAAAGCAATCAAAGGAGAGAGAGTTGGGACGTTGATTGGAGGAACTTGGAACTCTACTATTACAGCAACATGAAGTAACTTCTTTCTTAATATAGTAACTTAGGCCAGGAGAATCTTACAACTCCTCTATATATATATAGCTTGCAGAAACCTCTTTACTTCCTAGGAAGTTTATCTATCTGAAATTTTGTGAAGTTAAAATGAGATGTTATATAATATATAGTTTACATTACAAATACACAAAACTCATTTTTGACCCTTTGGGCTATTTTTGAATAATGTCAAAATGAATAAAATTACATAAAATGAAAGAAAGAAAACTAATAATCTTTGCTCTAAAGATCCCAAATGTGACTGAAGAAATCTGCAAAAGTTGGTGAAGCAGCTAAACTAGCATAACCAGGGCTCATTAGTCCCCCCGGTGAAAATAATCCCGGTGGTAACGCCGGCGAGAACAACCCACCTAGTTGAAACATCGGAGACTGTGAGAATATTCCGGCGGAAGCTGTCGGTAACATAGCCGGAGACGGCGAGAGTATTCCCGGCGCATAACCACTGAATTCTGCTGCTTCTTCCATAGCCGTCGAGATTTCCACCGTCGCCGGTTCCTTTCCTCCTCTCGGGCTAGCATTCTCCGTCGCGGCCAATCTCGCCGCCGGTGATACGTCTCCGTCGTTTCTTGATTCGAGGAAGACCTCCGAGGAGATTCCAGTGAGACGCTGGACGACGTTCATGAAGTCGGAGGTTGTGGTGTGCACGACCTTTGGAGAAACGGCGTAGATAACCACCGGCTCTCGAGCGGCGTACGGCGGCGCTTGGTTGCGGTGCTGAGGCGGAGGAGCAGGGTGTTTGGGAGGTTTTTTGATCTTGTGAGAGTCTTTGTTGACGCTTAGAGGTGAAGGACGAGGACCAGAGATCTGAAGCTGACGTTTTGGAGTCTGTTGATCGGGAGGATTGCCGCCGGCGAAATACTCCGACGGATCCATTAAAATCTTGGGGGGAGGGGGGAGCTTTTCTTCTTTCTTCTTTCACTACTTTTGTTGTAAAAGAGTTTCGATCGAACTAGTTTCTTCTTTTGTGTTTTGTCTGAGAATTGAATGGATGTTTGACGACGAGTATATTGACCAAAACATTAACACACAAAAGTTTTTTTGTTTGCGCAGACCGATTAGTTTGACTTTCAAAATGTTGACTTTTTGTATCCATCGTCTAGACTCTAGACGTTTATGCACATGCTCAATTTAGGAAATTGGAATTATGTTTTAACAAAGCAATTTGAAGTTTTAATTTCAAAATATATTACAGATAAAAATGTGTGATTGTCTCTACCTAAAACATGTAAGATAAGCATAAGTTCAATCAGGAATAAAACCAAAGAAATTAAAGTTGTTTATCAAGTTGCTTGAATACTCTGTCAGCACCATGCTTATTCTAAATGGATAAACTATAAAAGTATAAAGTATTACTTTAATCTGTGTCGGAAATTTCTTACTATGTTTGGTTGGTTGGATTGTTTCTCTAAACACGTGATTGTTGTGATTAGTTGATTATGTTGTTTCTTCTCGAAGAAATCCGTTTTTTTTTTGCTTGAGCTTGGAAGTTATTATGGAAATGTACTTTCTATTTTCTAAAGCCCAAACTTTGCATGTAACTTAGCCCAGTCAATTATGTAATCGTCACCTAACTCTCGAGTGTAATAATAACTAGGATAAGACCTGCGCAAGTGAATATATGTAATTAAAATATAAAATTTTAATATTCACAAATTTAAAATTTACATATGATTGTTTTTGTATGTATTTGAAATTTTAGAATTTTGGAATTTTTATATAATTATCTATACGTATGATCAAAAACAACTTTAATTAGAAATGTAAATCAAATCTTAGAATTTAATGGATCTGATTTCATATATCTTTTTA